GCAGTCTGGGGGGATAAGGACCGGCCCCCAGGGCTGTGGGTGCAGTTTGGGGGGGGCTGTACATCATCACGGTCCTGCCTACGACATAAACTTTATGCTGCGTATCAAGTCACGTGAGCACCAGTGGGTTCATTTCTCAAAAAACCAGTGTTTTAAGGCTGTTAAAAGTAATGTATTAATTATAGGGAAGTGCATTTGGCGAGGTAATAAATAAGAAAAATACAGATCTACTTTATTTTCGCTTGACACTCTCTCCTCAGAGAAGCCAGACACGTTCCAAAAAGATGTATGTGTGCCTACATATGTATTTATATGACAGGATGTGTGTGTGCATATATATATATATTTATATATGCACCCACACATACGTGTAAGTTTTGACTATAAAACTCTGTTTCATTCATATCCATATAACATTTTTTTCCCTTCATTAAGTGTTTGCTGAACCAGTCTTTACACGTGCATGCCCTGAAAATTGAAAAGAATGTGGGCTTCTTTGTTGAATTTGGAACAGTTGCTCAATAAAAGTAGGGCTTTTTTTGGTTGGTTTTTCCCTAAAAATACACATTTGGTTTCTTTTAAGAAACTTGATCTTTCTGAGAGCTTCTTGTATGCAGCCAGCTAAATAACAAAGGCTTGTGTCATAAAAGGATGAATAAGATTATTCTGGTAGCATACATACCGAAGGATGTGTCCCATGATTGCAACTCTGGGCTGCAGTCAGTTGTTGGTGAGTAGAAAGAATGACTCAGCAAGAAACAACGAATTCATAATCAAATATAGTTGTATTGGGTTTTTTTTTAAGTTTGGAGTGTGGATGTCCAAGTTGTGAATTTTTTTTTTTCAGGTGGGGAATTAGCTCAAATGGTAGAGCGCTCGCTTAGCATGCGAGAGGTAGCGGGATCGATGCCCGCATTCTCCAGTATTTTCAGTACTGATGTCATTATAAACCACACAGCAGCCTTTAAAATTATTTTCCTACTTACACTTAATTTTTTTTGTATAATAGTGTACAGAAGCCTGAAAGAACTGTAAATTTAAAAAAAAAAAGCATATTGATTTAAGTATTTCAGTTTTTAATTTCAAAATCCGATGTTCTTTTGCATAGAGGAAGTAAAAAAAAATATAATCTTGGCATGAAATAATCAAATTTACTGACCTCTTAATATAATAAAAAAATGACATCTAAAAATTATTGAGAAAAGGAAATGAAGAGTTTTTTGACAGGTCCTTAAGTATTTGGTTAATGATTTCATTTGTTAGTTAACTATTATATATATTATATATATATATATGTAATAGTGTGTAGTGAACAAAATTTTGTATTCATGCTTTGAATAAGACTCATTGTTTCTGCTCTATTTTGGTTGTATAGGCTGGTTATTAGAAAGAGTGGGCTAGAACATTTTATAGTTCTTTTGCACCTGGTGGCAAGGTAGTGCCTTTTGCTTGTGAATTTTCACAGCTCTGAAATACCATGGAAATTATCTCTCCAAATCTATGCTTGCACATTTTCATGCTTCATGAGGGTGGGTTTTTTTGTTTGTTTAGTGGTTTATTTGTTTTTGTTTTTTTTTAAATTCTGATTTTATTTTCTTACTTGCTCATTGAGATATATTACTTGTACTTCCAGTTTGAGATAGCATGAGGAAATGAGCAGAATGTGCTATTTACACAGCATGAATTTGTGCAGTTAGGATCTTGGGAGTGCACAGAAACAGGAACCAAAAGTTATTAATTAGGCTCCATGTTAAGGGAGGAGGAGAAAGCCTGCTGCATGGATGTACAAGTAGCACCTGTGAAGAAAGTAAGGAAGATCTTCCTTTGACATGACAAGACCATGACAATAAAGGAATTAACTTCTGGATAGAATGGGATAGAAATTGCATTTGCTTATTTCTCTTGTATTCTCCAAGTACTGGAGAACAAAGAGGAACTGTGACTGTGAGGCTGCTTGATGTCTCTTAAAATTAAGTCTAATGGAGAGAAAAGCATAATGGTCTTGTCACGAGTCCCTTTTGGACTCAGATAATAATTTAAATGTCTGTTTGCTTGGAATGAGACTATACAGTAGTCTTCTGTGTGATTATTATTGCTTCTGTGTTTTCTGTGTTTCTGTTGCTGCATAATACCTGACACTTTCTATACTTTTAAAGGGAATGAATTATATTGTTCTTCTTGGCTGATCCAATGCAAGTTGTGCACTGATGGAATGAGGGAATTTGGTGGGGCTCTTTTCAGGTGCAGTCTGCAATCACTTGAAAAGCTGAAAGCTCTCAGGACTAATGACTTTTCATTACATTTATGCCCAGCTTCCTACATTGGAGCGCTTCTGTCTATTAGGGCTTGTAAACACTGGAAAAGCTTACTTCTATTTTTTTTGGTGTAAATATGAATAGAAGTAAGAAGTTTTTGCTCATCCCATGTGGTGTTTTATGTCTTTATTTTTTAGGTAAACTATCCTGTGAAGAATTTACAGGATTGAGAGACACAAGGGTCCTGGCTCTCAGAAGAACTCCTACCTGTGGAAGTATACTATTTGTTATTGGGTAAGTATTTCCCAGAGCCCCATGTCAAAGGAGTCACCACTCTGGGTCTGCCTGTGCTTTCTGAGTCAGAAATTGCATAGAGATATTCTGTGTAAAGAACCATGAGGGAATTGAGGTTTATTTGATTTTTTATTATTCTTATTACTATTACCACTCATACTTTACACTATGGTCCTCTGTAATATCATGCTTGAATCAGTTACACAAGGTAGTTATTAATTCTGAATAATAATTTGTATTAAACTTGCTGGAATATATTGCTATGTCTTTGTTTGTTGTAGTCTGCAAATAGGAAATAATTATTCCTTAGTTGTCTTTAATCAATACCTTGCTCCAGGTACTACTTAGAAAATCTTTAGGCTGAGGTGGAGCTTGGGCACTGTCATATGGCAACTCTGGAGGCAGTGTTGGACAACATGAGGGCCATCTGCAGAATCTGCACTCAACAATCACAACTCTGTGAAACTCTTAAATAAAACTATTTCACAACAAGATTGTGGAACATATGTTTTCTGAGCTGAGGACACTGCTATTCTGATTTTTCTCTTGATGGGTAAAGTGTGATATTTGACAATAAAATTTATGAAAGTTTTTTTCTGAAATGACTACCAGTACCTTATTTTGACCAAGTTGTAATCAGAAGTGGTATTTTGAACTCTTTTTGGAGAGTGAGAGGTGAGTTCAGTACCGTGTGAAAGCACTCAGAACCATGAAACACAAACCATTGTTTGTGTTGGCCAGGACCTTGAAAATCATGTTGTTCCAGCCCTTCTGCCATGGGCAGGGACACATTCTTCCAAAGGAGGTAGGTAGCTCTAAGCACCATCACATCCAAGCTTTGTCACTGCTTCTCTGGGCAACCTGTTCCACTGCCTCACCACCCCCACAGTAAAGAATCTCTTGCTAATACTGAACCTAAACCTACCCTGTCTCAGTTTAAGGCTGTACCCCCTGTGCTATGACTGCACGCCCTTGTGAAAAGTCACTCTCCAGCTTTTTTCTGGGCCCTTTTTTAGATAGTGGGAAGCTGCTTTTGCTGGGGCCACCTTTCCTGTAGGCTGAACAACCCCAGATCTCTCATCCTGTTTGAAAGGAAAGGAAGTTACACCTTTAAAATGTGTTCAGCTTCCAGTTGTCAGTATTTTTCCTCTCAAATTCACTGTTGAAAAAAATTAGATTTTTTCCTAGTAAACTTTGCCCAATATAAGAAGAGTGAAATAAAATAATTTTTAGAGTCATTGAGCAGAGGTGTCATTACCTAGGCCAGCGACCTTATGCCTATTTTACATTTTGGGCCATGTTTTATTTCCTGTGGTTACAGTAAGTATTGCAGTAATTTGTTACTGCTAAATGGAAGTGTTGACATCTAGTGGATGGGTCTGGACACAGATGGACTACTGTGAGACTCATGGAATACAAGTGGGCTTTGGTTTGGTGAGCCTATGGCTCTATTTCTGTCATGTCTCAAGACATGCAGGTGTGCTGTTCATTGTTAGCACAGAATAACCTAAAAAAAGAAGGATTAATCATTAAATAAAAAAGACCACAGTGGACAAGGCCTGTGTAGTGGTCTCTAACAGCTCTCCTGCACATGCTTTTGGTTCCAAAAAACAAGAGAACAACTTTTTTTTTTTTTTTTTACTACAGTGATACTATAGTAGGAGAGAATTTTTCAAAATATTCTTTTTTTTCAGTATTGTTGCTACTTTGACAAAAATACTGAAATAGGCTACACAAGAAAATCCCTATAATCAGCTTGTTGACAACAGAAAACTCCACAGATCATTGAAATACAGCTCAAGGAACAGTTTCATTGTGTTGGAAAAGTTTACTTCTAATTATTTTGGTGCAAATATTGAAACTCCTGCTTATTTCTATTGTTAAAAAACACTGGTCAAAACTAGTAACTTGATAAAAGAAAATAGAAATCAATGGAAGAACTAAAAACTATTGTAGATTTATAATTTCCATGTATGCAGAGATAGCAAAAACAGTATTAGGCTAAAATGAACAAAGCATAAATGCAGGGAGGCAGAGCATTTTATGTATGAGGGTGGGTATTGTGCTGTGCAGGGCCAGGAGTTGGACTCCGTGGTCCTTGTGAGTCCCTTCCAACTCAACATATTCTTGTGATTTGGGTCCTCACTGGGGAAGAGATTTCAGGTTAGCTGGAAGAAAAACATCTTGCATCGTGGCTCTTTCTGATCTGTATCAGAAGCTTGTGAATGAGTTTAACTCTACAAGCTGTAAAGGAAAAAAGCTAAGTGTTATTTATAAAATAGAATGTCAAGAACAGGATGTGGGGGTTGTCAGTGGTTAGCAAGGTGTGTGTGTGATATTCTGTTAGAGACTGCTGCTAGCAGCAGCCCTGTGCTCGGGCTGCTAGTCCTGCTGGGAATCCCACATTGCAGTGACCCTGGCGCAGGTTTTGGGATGTGTCCCCTTTCAGATGTATTCGCCTGCAGGTTGTTTTGGTGTGCATTTCCCTCATGTCCACATGAATGCTGCCAGGGCCCTTTAGGATTGTTCTGAGCCTGCTGCAAGGGCTGTTCCAGCACTCTGCCAGGGGAGCTGCCTTCTCCTACCTGCCTATGGGTCCCTGGCCCGGCGCAGGTTGTGGTTCCCAGGTAGGATGTGCAAGGTGCTACCGCAGCGGCCGCCTTCAGCTGAGCTCGGCATTGGCTCCTGGGGAAGGGCCTGGGACTTGAGTTTTGTAATTGACTTCTGCATGTGAAGAAACATTTGGCAACATGGCTAGACATTTGTGGTATTAATTTTCCAGTTCTTACACTACTGAATGTCAAATATTTCAGCCTTTGAAACTATCATATCATTTTGAGGAGCTAACTCTAATAAGCACCTCTTTGATTCTGGCATTTCTGTGGTTTTTAAAGTTTTATCTGTATTCTTTCCTTTTATGCCTTTGGCACTTTTCTTTTTTTTATTATTTTTTTTTTTTTCTCCAAAGACCCTTCCGAATCTAAGTGTCTTGTTTAAGGCCAATCTGAGAAAACAAAAAAAAATTAAGTGAAGCTTCATTGCTGTGTGCCTACTTCCTTATTTCTAGATGTTGGGGTGCAGGCTGAGCGGAGGTGGCAGGGTAGGGATGCAGCCACGTGAAATTGCTTCCCAGGTGTCAGCCCGCACGGGAACAGACACAGCGGGTGCCTGGAGAGAGACGCGCATGGACAGGGGCTGGCGAGAAGGATACAGAGAGGAGAGCACGCCGGGTCAGCTCGCTGCCGAGGGCTCCTGGGGGAGCAGACCCGGGCTGGCTCCTGGGCTGGCTCCCGGGCGGGGGCGCGCCTCGGCTGCCGGCCCC